CCAAGGCTACAGTCCTGCTATAAAACCTCTGTTTTCTGAGATCTAGTGCATCATTCAGTCTCTGTCTCTCAGATGTGAGAATTTACTGCTGTGTTTCTATTTCCCTATCAGTGGTAGAAGAGGTACTCAAATCCCTTAAGTAGCAGTACCACAGTACTGTTATAAGTAACCATGGACCATGACATACAAGTGATGCAAGGTCAGCTGCCTCACATTGTAATGATCTCAGTCAAAGCTGGCCTCCAGCACTCCCACACTACAGGCAAACCAGGTGTTATTCATAGCTTCTGTCTGGGTTGGCTAACACTTAAAAAGACAAGCAGCGTGTGCAGGGAAGTGATACAGCCAGGTGTGAGCTCCCTTCAGGCCTTTTCTCTAACAAAAGCATGAGGATCATAGCATGAGGACGGAAACAACACAGGTCACAGCCAACGCTCATCGCTCCAGACAAAGCAGCGAAGAAGACTTAAACAGAAGACAAACCACTATCAATGACAATAGAGTCAGGCTGAATTTCATAAGTTCAACCTCATCTTGCAGGTTGAACCAGTATTTGGTGGTTAGTGCATATTAAACAACAATGAATTGTCTTTCCTGCTAAACTCAGACTGATCAACATCACCTCTGAGCTGGTAACAGGATTCACAGACCTCTCATACCCATCATCATTCTACAGTTTAGGACATTCTGCACATGCAAAGTTTTGTTTGTTTGTTTTTTCAGGTCCACTATGTCTTATGTGTTTTGTTTATTTTCCTGTTTTTAATCTTGTTTTAATGTATTTTGGGTATATTTTATATTGTACTTTTATTTGCTGCACCTCTATTTAATGGTGTTGGGGATTCATTTTCAATTTTATTGTTTTTTCCAGCGTAAAACCTTTAAAAGCTTCAAAATAAATATGGTTCATCATTATTAAATTATGTTCTGAAATTAATGTATTAATCAGTTTGTCAAGCTATAAAATATTAGAAAATGTTTTTTTTTTAAAATGCCCCTCAGAGTTTCCTAAAGGTCGGGGTGACATTTCCTTGTTTTGCATCACCAACAGTACAAAACCCAAAGAGATTCAATTTACAAAACGCACAAAAAAAGCAGCAAATCATCACATCTGAGAATCTGAAATAACTGGTATTTGTGCCCAACTATCGGAATCATTGCTGATTCATTTTGGTTTCAGCTACAGTCAAAAGGCTCTGAAGGAACAGACAAAGCTGTGGTTACAGTCGTACCTTATTATCACCATATTTCTAAAAATAACACCAACATAAGGTGGTAAACTGTACACCACCTGCAAATTTAGGATATACAGTACTGTGATGCAGAATTTATTTTTAACACTGTCATAACCAGCAGCTCTGGGACTCATGTTGTCTGACTTTTCATGTTCAGACTCTGTTTTTGTGTCTACATGGTACTCATAACGTGTGTATTGTGTTGCATATGGACCGGCAGAAGACCCACCCTAACCCCCAAAAAACCACCAGCTAACACAGAATATTTTAATTTAAAGCAGCTCCCAGTGTAAAACTGTGAAACGGCAACAGCACAGATAAACGGAGAATAGTTAAGAGCCCAACAGACTTCTATACATACAGAGATTCACAGGACCGTCTGTCAGCGGCTAACTCTTGACAGAGTAGCTTGGCTCAGTGGATGTGAACAAAGCGCGAGGTCTGGAGAGGCTTTAGACCCCATCGGGGCTTTTGTGTTTGCAAGGCGCTGCCATGGGTGATGAACACACATCTAAATGCCCCGTATCTAAGCTCCCACTGTCCCTCCGCCAGTCCTCCAGCCCTGCCTATAGTCCTTTCAATCTAAATAAGTCTTCCACTGTGAATCACTGAGAAAAATCCAGAAAACTTAACTTTTTTTGTAGTGTTTAGCTAAAACCTGCTCGTTGTTGCTGCTTACAAAAAGAGTCACAATTTACCATTTTAACTACTTTCTGATGTTCTTCAGTGTTTATCTGTTTCCCGACCTGTATCTCACTTATTCGCTGAGCTGCGAGGCCTCTGCTGACACTGTAAACCCCCACAGCTTTTGTCAGCTGCCTCCAGTCAACTGAGTTAAGGCCTCTTCTGGTCATTAAGTAATGGCACAGCTCATTTTAACAAGCTTTTTCTAACACAGTTAACCATCTCTCCAGCTGGCTCATGAGCGACATCCTGGGGCTTAGACTCTTGCTCTAGTTGCTGCATCCCTTCTTGTCATTACATTAAAACATGTCTGAAACTTAAGAGGTTTAGGGACCTATTTAATGTCATTATTGTCACTGTTCTGCCCTTGAGCTTAACATCAAAATCAGCGTCTCTAATTGGGGAAGAAAAAGAAACCAACAATTTTCATGAGATGCAGCTTGTGATTTTGTGTCTGTTTCATGCTAATGAGTGGTTAATGTGCTTGGCATCAGCAGCTAAGTTGTTACGGCAGATAAAACAGTTCAAGTCATTCACTACTCATATGCCACCACCTTGAGAATAGATTTTAGCAGGTGACGTCGGCTGTACTGCATTTATCACCCCAGCAGGTAGGTTCGGCAAGTCAGCCGTTCCCCTCAACGTACACCTACAAGGACAGACCACAGTGACGTCTTGCACTGTGTAAATAAGCTGGTTAAAGTACAGTCTATATACTGGATCCATGCAGCTGTTTCTCAATGCCCTTTCCACCCTTTCTTTGCATGGGTAAGCACAGTATTGATGTAAATACACAGTAAAAGCAAATGTTTTGAACTTTGTGTTCCTTTGTGCAAATTTGAGAAACAAAGTGCGGCCTCTGTTGAGATAAGCTGGGCTCTTAAACAACCTCAGTCTTTAAAGCAGCTCTGGTTGCTGTAGTAAGCCAACTCTGATCAGGCATTATGGCTTAAACAGCAACTTGGAATTACTGGTCTCCAAACAGGCCCAGCCCCTTTTCCATTACATTTATATGTTATTGTTGACAGAGACCTCCTCCTGCATAGTGATGACTCAGCTCATTGGTTTTCAGCAGCTAAGTGAATGAGCTGTCACAGCCAATTGATACTGGTTGTGCATGTGCGCACTGAGACTTGTCAACAACCTTGACAGTTGGTAGGAGTTGAAACATGTCACTGAGATTCACAGAGGTGAAAAAAAAGCAAAGCTCATTGGAGTGGGTTTGGTTTCACGGGCAACATAAATCCTAAAGGCTTCAAAACTGTAAGCCATTGGTCGAGGTTTAAAGCTTAAAATCACTGCAGGTATTTTACAAGGAACTGTGCCTTTCTGGGTATGTTTTAGAAAGAACCGGTGAAGGGTGTCATGCTAACATCTGGCTGGAATTACAGCTCCTGGAACCAGAACAAAATCCCCAAGCTCTCTGAAAGACTTGTTCAGAACAAGTCATTTTAAACAAGCATGTATTTCTGCATGTTTGTTTTGCAGTTTACTATATTAGAAGGTGAGCAGCAAACTGCCACATGCCAGTCATATTAGTGTACACAACCCTGTACACGTGTTCTGAAATCAGAGGCTGGTATTGTCTGTTGTCTTGTTATACTGCACTGCAAAACTAAAAAAAAATGTAAGGGTGAAAAAGGTCTGTAATAATTTCCCACAGTACAAGGTGACATCTTCTAGGTGTACCTAATAAACTGGCAATTGAGTGCATTCTGAATTCCAGTCCAATATAACACCACTAACAATAACAGGCTCAAACTGTACCACAGAACGGAGATAAACATAGCAGGCAGCATTCAATGAAGGCAGCTCCACTGCCTAAATGCTGCCGTGCATGTGCTGGTGACAAACCTTTCTTAGTTTGCTTGTATTTTGTCTGTTATCATGGTTTATCAAGCTGCAATGTTGAAAATGTGTCTGCATAACATCACATCAACTAAAAACCTTTCCCAGGATAAAACAAATCCTCCACCAAGCAACAAGACAAGTCACAAATGTCAGCTGCATTACCAGCAGCATTAAAGTGTGGATTTTCTCCTTCAAAAAGAGAAATGGAATCAGGAAGCTCTGGACAAACATGCTCCTCACAGGCAATGATGCGGCACTTTTGTGAACAAGTGCATGTGAGGGTGAGTGTTAGGCACAAATGAACAACTGCAAGCATGGACAAGTGGGAAACACACGGCACAAAGGGAAGAGGCAGGATGAGCAAGAGTGCAGCTATTTTCTATCATTTTCATCATGTTAAGATCTTTGGCCCTGAATGAGAGAGACTGGTTTCCCATTATGCCCCTGTCACTCTGCTGCCTCACCAGCTGGGTGGGAGCGGCCTGCTTCAGCAGAACAACATGCATTAACTGCAAGGGAAAGGAAGCCTGATTCTGTCTCTTTGTTGAACAAGCTAACAGCTCTGAGTGGATCCCAATAGACCTGATTCACTGAGAACCATGACTGGGCCATCCAGTGAACGTCTACAAACAAAGAGCAGGCTTGACAGTGTTACAGGAGCTGCACCCAATGGTTCACCGTCCTGACTATCAGTGAAGCTCTTCCTGATTATCCTTATTAACGTGTCTCTGCAGGAGGCTTTGAGGAGAGGCCAGGCTCTGGAGTGAAGGGCAGGTTGATTGTCTCTCTTCCACCCCATCTTTCCCTGATAGCTCAGCCTTACAACTGATGATATCATCCCTCTCAGCGCCAACCACAGACAGCAGAAAACGACCCATGTGTGTGCACCTGTGCAATGGGTGTGATGCCTCACGTTTTTAATACTGGACGAATATAGTGCGCATTACACTTCAGAGAAATGGAAATCCTTGCTGAGGTGAATCACAAAGCAACAGAAAACATGACCCGAAAAGAGCGCAGCACCCTGTGGTGCCCGGCTGGACGTGGGTCACCTGCTAATATGAAATGGGGCTGATAATATATGGATACAATGTGTGTGGATCAGCGGATGCTGCTGTTGACCTGCAGGGTTTCAACAGGCCCGCGGGACTGGCTGACAGGTGGCACCGAGGCAATGATGAGCTACGCATTTACTCGTTGATGGAAAATTAAGACATTTTAGTGACTTACCTCAGTGCCACACGGACCGAGCTTTCATCCTGTCCGGTCGTCATCGTTCCTCATGCAATAGTCGATAGTAAAAGAACAAAAAGTGGATTTATCAGTGCCGGCTGCTGGCCTTGGCAAAGCAGACAGAAAAAAGTGCGCACTCCTCCGGCAGCACGGAGCTGCTCACTTCGACTTCAGCTCCGCCATTTCTAAACAAACACAAAATATATCAGTGGTGTTTTAACCATGACATTAGCATAGAGGAGAGGCGGTGTGTCCGCATGTCGCGTCTATGGGCGACGCAACGCTACGCAGTTCAGCCCGGATGCAGACTCCCGCTGCTGCTAGGTGAGCTTCTCCCCCCACGCGCGTCCGCGTATACACACGCGCGCCGCCGTGCCTCTCTGCTCCGTTTACGCACCGGGGAGGGAGCCGCAATGCATCAGCAAGCCACGCCCCCTCCTAGGACGCAGCTGCGAGATGACGCCATGACAAAGGTGTTATACATTTTCTAAAGTATAACTCAGCCATAAACTTGAATTTTGTGAAGATATAAAGGAGTAATCACATGGTGTCAGGTTCCACCATACATTGACGTGATAAAGACAGTTGTTTACTCTGAGTGAAGACTTCAAATCTCAGAGGACATGATTATCTTTCATCATATTATCAGGTGAATCCAGAGGCTACATTGTAAATCCAGTGGTGGGGGAAGTATATCCTTTAAAGCCGCCACAATTAGTCGGAAAATTAATGGGTAACTCTTTTAATGATCAAATCATGTACTGGCTTTTACTTTATTGTGGCATTATTTTATTTCTTGTATTTACACTTAACACCTAACAGCCACATACACAACCAGTGTTGGGAGTGTTCTTAATAATGATGGTTATCTTTTAAATATTTTGGTCACATGCAGAACACACAGGCATCTCCTGACATCATGCTTTTGGTAGGACTGATTCAAGGACAGTTTCCTTCCGCAAGTTTTTCAAGAAGTGATTTCTTTTTTGGTGATAGTTGAACATAAAAACTGCAAAATTGTTTCCAGTGTCTAAATTTTGGCAAATATATTTCTGTTCCTTATGAAGTGCATTTAACTCCATTGTATTCTACTGTAGTTAGGCAAAGGGAAGTCAGGCACTCAAATAGAACATAGAAAACATTTTAAAAGTCTGTGTATGAAATAAATGTGAAATATTTAAAAAGTAGCCTGTAATCTATGGTTGTGCAATCAGTGACGTGACCAAATGTATAAATTATGCTAGCTCACAGTAGGTGAGCTTTTAGTGTCACCCTGTGGCTGAAGCATTGTGATACTACAAGACAGAGGGAACATACTGTAGCTGAATAACAGGGACGTTGCTTAGGTGTCGACACAGAACATCTTTCTGTTTACACACAGCAGTACACAGTGACCGGTAACATAAAATGCAATCCAACACAACACCTCAACCATAAATTCAAACATTTTAGCCCTAGAAATCACCCAATTGTGTTTAAAAAACAAAATACTGTAGATAATGTAATTCTCAATATCTAAAAAAAAAAAAACTAACTTAAAAAAGGTAAGTATTTTTGAAGTCCTCAAATTTGCGACTTAAGTCTGACTTAAATCCTCCATGTCTGATTAACACATCATTTCATGGCAATTAATATACATTCTTCACATGACAGCATTTTCTTTCGTTGCTTTTTTCTTGTTGTCGTTTGTGCAGCAGTGAAATTAAATGTTGATTCAGTACACACAGAAACAATAAGAACATTTCCTGAGGACACTGCACCACATGTTTATTTCCTGAAGATCATCTTAACAAACATAACATGATCAAAGAGACATGGAATGCATTTCATGCAATGTAAATGGCACAATACCAAAATTAACAGTACTTCATTTGGATCTACGACCTATAAACACACCTGTTTAACCTTTTCTTTTAAACATCCTTCTCAATATTTAGAAGTGTAATGCTTAGAAGTGTAATGTCTTTTTTTAAAAATGTCTCGCACAGGCCGGTCATCAGTAATCAATAACAGCGGCTGGGTGACATCACTGATGTCATATTGCTTTGCATTTTTCACATCAAATGTGATAAAAGGACAATAAATCTATACCCACAAAATACGTAGTTATACATCCTGAACATTTTTGTTCTCACAAATAATTAGGTTTTAGTGCAACTTCCAAATGTTTCACACATAGCAAAAGTATTT